ATGGAGAAGTTTATAGTTGCAGAGTCCCAGGTGCCCAGTGGAAAAGAGAGAGAGCCTTTCCTGAATGTCCACACCTCCAAGGAAGCAGGAAGCAGCCCTTCAATTGACTGGCTATTCATAACCAATCATCATGTAGTTAGCTATACCTGTGTTAGGTTTCATCATCATGGGAATAAGAACAGCCCAACTGGTAAACCTCTGGAAATCCTGGCCTAGTCAAGTTGACACATAACCTTAACCATTTCAGTCACTTTGAACCATAAAGTCAGCAATTCAAACTCACGAGCTGCTCCTTGGAAACTGTATAGAAGGTTGCTGTGAGTCAGAACCAACTCAACAGCACTTAACCACAACAAAGATAATACAATGAAGTCCTCTTATTGGCCTTGTGTTGTTGTTATTAAATTCCATCAAGTCAGTTCCAACCCTGTATAGGGTTTCTGATGAGCAGCTGGTAGGCTTGAACTGACGACCTGGGATTCTCGGGCCAGAGCTTATCCTAGAGAGTCATGCTGGGAGTCCTTGTAGGGAAGCCTAATTCTGGATTAACAAAAGATCCATTTTATAAGAGATTGATATTACTTCATCCCCAAGCCCTGTGGATCACAACAGAGTATTATTCAGTGGCATGCTGGATTTAAGACACTTTGGTTTAAGACACTCAAAATACTCAATGGCACAACAGTGAGCTCCAGCATAGCAAAGATCATGAGATGACAAAGGGCCAGCTAGTGTTTCATTCTGTTGCACATGGGATCAGAATGAGTCTGAGCCAACTCAAAGGTATTAACAACAACAATAATTGGCTTTGATTCCTAATGCACTAAGGTATAGTGCTCAAAGTTGGTGTCCAAGCCAGCAGCAGCATCTGGGAGCCTGTTAAACATGTACCTACTTGGGCCCAACCCAAGACATATGGGATCAGAAGCTCAGATGGTAGGACCCAGCTCAATGGGTGTTCCTAGCATTCCAGAGAGTCTCATGTATGCTCACGTTTGAGAATCCTCCTACATTAAGCAAACCTCAAAACCTACCAACCCCTGAAACTAAACTATGAATAATACTGGTAGATCAGGTCACTAAAGGATGCAAAGTTTGAACTCCAAGGGATGCAGGGTCATACCCATCTGGCCACATAAATGTGAAGTGACTTAGGGCCTCAGACTTTCAGTGTTTGGTTTCTGTAGGGTCTGGCTCATATGTGCATATGTGTCCAGATCTGACTAAAATATGTCTCCCTGTGAATGCACCAGAGAGACAGGATGCCTGCCAGACCCACTGGTATGGCAGGCCTACTGCTGCTAGCAATGGTATCGTCTCCATCATAACCACCTTGGGTAGCTAGCTGAACCCACACTGAGATCTACTGTGCACATATATGTCTTTTGTGCTCTGGAATCAGCCAGAGAGGTAACAGACATAGCTTTTGGAAACACAATCAGCTTGGCTTACCTAATGGTAAACCTCTGCCCCCAGGGCAGATAGCTCACTCATTTGAGCTAGGGAGTCTGGGCACTCATTTTTCAAAGCTGTCACTGTGCTCAGTCACAGCAATTAAAGTTCTGCCATGAACACTGCCTTATCCTATGTGGGTCCTGAAGTGTCACCAAACATATGGTGCTGGCAAGTTCCTGATACCACCCACAGAAGAAGATTTGGGACGTCTTCAGAAAATAGAAACTGTCTAAGTAAATTGATGTAAGCAGAGGATTCGCCAGGAACTTGTGATTCTCTTCTCAAAATGAACTTCCTAGAACTGAGGACTCAGTTCTTACCACAGGAGACAAATGACTCACATGAGGGCAGGGAAGCGGACCCAGTACAGGGACTGGGGATACAGAGACAGATGTTCTGAGTCAAATGCCTGCACCTGTTGTTCATAAATGCTACTAAGTTTTACCTGCTTCATACAGGGGAGGCTGCCAGGAACACTGGCCATCTAAGGAAGGCATGTTGTCTTCAGGCCAGCCAGAAACTAAAAGGTCCCAAAGTATCTTTGTAGTAGTCACCATTGTTATTGTTGATGCTGTTGAGTCGATTCCATCTCATAGCGACCCTATGCCCAACAGAACGAAACCCTGCCAGGTCCTGCCCTACCTGTTGTTACATTTGAGCCCATTGTTGCTGGCACTGTATCAACCCATCTTGTTGTGGGGGAAGCTCTTCCTCATTTTTGTTGACCCTCCACTTTACCAAGCATGATAGATATCCTTCTCCAGGAACCAGTTTCTCCTGACATGTCCAAAAAATGAGCGATGTGGTCTCACCATCCTTACTTCTAAGAAACATTCTGGCTGTTCTTCTTCCAACACGTATTTGTTGTTCTTCAACAATCCATGATACTTTCAATATTCTTTTCCAAAACCATAATTCTAATGCATCAATCCTTCTAGATCTTTTTTATTCATTGTCTAACTTTCACCTACATATGTTGTTGTTGTTAAGTATAGTCGAGTTGGTTCTAGCTCATAGTGACCCTGTATAGGGTTTACAAAGAGTGGGTTGGTGGGTTTGAACTGTTGACCTTGCAGTTAGTAGTCCAGTGGTTATCCTACAGCACCACACCAAGAGGCAATTGAAATTTCCATGGCTTGGATCAGCTGCACCTTAGTCCTCAAATTGACATCTTGGCTCTTGAATACTATGAAGACGTCTGTTGCAGCACATTTACCTAATACAGTACTTTGTGTGATTTCTTGACTGCTGCTTCCATGAGTGTTCATTTTGGATCTAAGCAAACTAAAATCTTGGACCACTTCAGTTTCTTTCTCAGTTTATCATGATGTTATTTGTCCAGTTGTGAGGATCTTAATTTTCTTTACATTGAGGTGCAATCCATACTGAATGCTGTAGTCTTGGATCTTCATTAATAAGTGTTTTAAGTTGTCTTCACTTCCAGCAAGTAAGGTAGTGTCATTTACATATTATAAATGTTAATGAGACTTCCTCTTATCCTGATGCCACATTTTTCTTTATATAATCAAATTTCTCAGATTATTTGCTCAACATAGAGATTGAATAAGTAGGGTAAAAGAATACACATCTAGGCTGATTTTAAACCAGTCCACATCCTCTTGTTCCATTCAAAAAACTTCCTGTTGGTCTATGCATAGGCTTCTCATGTGCACAATGAGTGTTCAGGAGTACCCATTCCTAACAATAGTATCCATAGTGTGTTATGATCCACACAATCACATACTTTTACATAGTTAATAAAGCATAAGTAAACATCTTTCTTGTATTCTCTGTTTTCAGACATCTTTAAGGCAGAGGAAATCAGTGAAGGAATTGTTAGTTGCCATTAAGTTGACTCTTACTAAGTTGACAACCTTTTGGATGACAGAATGAAACTGTAGCTAATCATGTACCATCTTCATGATCATTGGCATATTTGAGTCATGGCTGCTGCCACTGTGTATTTTGAGTACCTTCCAACCTAGGGGGCTCATCTTCCAGTACTATATTGAGCAGTATTCTATTGTGCTCCATAGGGTCTTCATTAACTAATTTTCTGAAGCAGATCATTAGCCCTTTCTTCCTAGTCTGTGTTAGTTAGGAAGCATCGCTGACACTTGTCCACTATGGGTAACCCTGGTGCTATTTGAAATATTAGTGATACCACCTCTCACATCGTAGCAACATGCAAGTCACCACAGTACAACAAACTGACAGACAGGTAGTTGCAAGACAAATGAGGGGAGTGCAAAGTATGTTGGTGCCTGTTTTATGGTGGTGGTTATGTTCCATGGAATCATATCTGACTCATAGTGACCCTGTGCAGGGTTTTCAAGGCTGCAAATCTTTACAAGGTCAGAAAGCCTTATTTTTCTCCTGCAGAATGACAGGTAGATTCAAACTGTTGACCTTGTGGTTAGTAGGCCAACTTGCAACCCACTATACTACCAGAGATCCTTGGGCTATGGTACAAAGAGATTATCCTTAACTGGAAATACATGGAACTGACATGCCAGACATGGACAAATAGTCAAACACATATACATACGTGTACAGGCTTTGGAATGAGCTACTTTCAATCTTTTCCTCATATGGGACACAGTGGTAAAGGAAGGGTAAGATCATCCCTGCCCCTCTACCCCTAAAGTGGCTGAATTAAAGGGCCTCTCATAACCAATGTCTCTTGTCCCCAGGCCTTATATGGGCACACAAAGGCTGTCACATGCCTGGCAGCATCAGTCACCTTCAGCCTTCTGGTGAGTGGCTCCCAGGACTGCACCTGCATCTTGTGGGACCTGGATCTCCTCACTCACGTAGCCCGACTTCCTGCCCACAGGGAAGGCATCTCGGCCATCGCCATCAGTGATGTCTCGGTGAGACTTTTTTTCTTGGTGTTGTGTTCTCACTGAGTCTGTGAGCCTCCTAAGATAAAGCCTGGAGGTAGGGAGGCATTAGCCACCTGGGATGTTGAGTAGGTTCCAGATACACTCTACGGGCCAAGTGCAGCTATCAAATGTAGCACTGGGTCTAACTTGTGTTTTGGGCTTTAGCCATGGGAGGGGGTTATCTTCTAGCATGACTACCAGGGAGTTGGGACAGGAAGATCTGACATTGGTGAGAGTCTTCCTGGGCTTGGCTTAACAAATTCAGCATGCTGACTACAAATCAGTGCTGCCTTGGCAGTTGCCTTTTATCACCATGGCAAAAAGGATCTCTGTTTGTTCTCCATGAAGGCAATCAAAGATGAACCTTCCTGGGACATGTGTGTGTGTGTATGAGAGAAAAAGAGAGTGAGAGTGGGGAAGTCTTTTTTTTTGGGGGGGGGGCAGTCTTCTTGAGCTGGAGAAGCCACCCCACTCCTCTATTATGAGATGAGGGGCAGATGGTAGAAAGAGCATGCAGATTCATGGGTCTGATTTCAAATTCCAGCTCTGCTACATACTATGTGTAGGACCTGGAGTGTCTCTCTGGGCTGTAAATGGGATTGTAATGTTTACACTACAGGATTTTTTTATGAAATTAAAGTGATAATACATATACATAGAAGGGACTCTTGTATTTATGCACTCATATCCCACCTCACTGCAAATGATGTGAGGTGGCCTTGACTGCAGAGTGTATATTCTTATCAATAAAAGCTGTCACGATTATACTTGCTGTTTTTCAGTGTGGAAACTCTCTCAGGCTGGATACTCTATCATGGGGTATGCTTCTGACCCTTGGGGTCCTGGACATGGCTACTACAGTGGGAAGGAGGGGCCTAATAGGAGGAGACAATGCTGATTAAGGTGTCAACTTTGGCAAAAGATGTGCACCAGGTAGACTTGAATCCAGGTTGAATATTGGATGGATAGATGAATGCATGGGTGTATGAGTAGATTAAGGAGCCCTGGTGGTACCGTGAGCTAAGCATTGGGCTACTAACCTTAAGGTTGGTGGTTTAAACCCACCAGGTACTCTATGGGAAAAAGATTAGTCTGCCTGCTTTTATAAAGATTTACAGTCTCAGAAATCCTATGGAGCAGTTCTACCCTGTACTGTAGGCTCACTATGAGTTGGAATTAACTCCATGGCAATGTGTTTCATGCACACATGGATTTCTGGGTGAGTTAGTGCATTGGTAAGTAGATGAATTAATGAATGGGTAAGTCTCCTCAGGAAGACACCAAGCCCTGATCTGGAAGAACTTAAGGAATTGTGTTTCAAGACCTCAGAGAATACCGATGCCAGGATAAGCTTTCCTGGAGCCAATTGAGTTCAATTTAAGTGTCTGCTGGGCCCAGTGCTGTGTGCTGGGCACAAAGATTATCAAAGATGGGTCCTGGGCTCAAGCAGATTATACCAAACAATTCAGGAAGTACCATGGTGGGTTCCAACCTAGGAGTCTGAGTAAGCCCAGAAGAGGAGCACGCTCACATGGCCCCAGATGGCTCTGTGGTCCTCAGAACAGTGACCACTACTTCACTGAGCACAGTGTAGACAAGAACTTGAGGAATCGTGGTTTCAGATGTGAACTTTCAGGATACAGTAGGGATTTTCTCCTCAGGAATTGGAGCTTGAGGAGCACTGTCCAAATTCATGTGTTACTTGCAGTTGAGCCTCTGGACTTACCTTCCACCTAAGGAAGGCACAGCGTCTTCATGAGGGCAAGGCTGATTGGCTAGGTACAAGCCCAGTGTCCAGAACCAAGGACAGTCCCCATGTTTCTCTTCTATGCCACTTACTATCTAGTTAGGGAAAGTTTTGAGGAAGGAGCTCAAAGGGTGAGTCACTTAGTGTCTACCAGGAAAAACAATCTCCAAAAACATGATTAGAATCTGAAAAGAGGCAAGAGTTTGTACTTGCCAAAAATATGGCAGAGTTAGCTTGGAAGAACTGGAAGCCTTGAAGAGTCTTATGGTACCTGCTTTCAGAGGCTGGCAGGTCAAGATGATCACTAAGTGTGTAAACTGGGTAGCTAAGTAGCTATCAGAAGGACAGGCAGTGACTCCAGTTTGTATTGCTTCAGGGTATTATTGTCTCCTGTGCTGGAGCCCATTTGTCTTTATGGACTGCCAGTGGACAGGCACTGGCTAGCATCACCACAGCCTGGGGCCCAGAAGGAGCTATAACCTGCTGCTGCATAGTAGAAGGACCAGCATGGGACACAAGCCATGTCATCATCACCGGAAGTCACGACGGTATAACCCGGGTAGGTGTGTCATACCTCACTGAGTCATGGTACTAGAACTCTGTTGGTCTCCATGTACTCACTTCTCCCAGGGTTCTAAATCTGAAGTTACACATCTGAGGTCATTCCAGACCAGATGCCAAAAATAAGTGAGGGCAAGGCAAAACAGTTAAGTCAAGGCCGATTTCCATCCTCCAGTTATAGCAAATTCAGACTACAGCACATGAAAAATACTGACAAGTAGGCCGAGACCAGGGGGCTGGACATGGGGTGCTGGGTAGAGGAATACAGTTGAGTGGGCCACCAGGGATGGCAAGGGGACATTAGCTCAGAAAATATTAATGAAGTAACCACTAAGTGTCATCCTTTAGGTCAGGAGAGGAAAGATGTACTGATAGCTGTAAGGGTTGTGCTGTTTTGATCATCCAAAGCCTTCACATAGGGAAATGGAAGTTTACAAAACGGTTTTTACCTGAGAATAAGTTAGCACTAGAAGTAAACCTGGGATCAAACCCTACATCTCCACTTGTGTCCACCTGAGATCAATGCCACAGCTCAGAGCATTTTTGCTTTTTGTTTTTTTTTTGTGTGTGTGTGTGACAGATTTGGAAGACTGAGGATGTGAAGATATCTACTTCTGGGCATACAATGACAGAGAAGCCCTCAGTTCAGCCTTCAAGCTCAAAAGGTACCTGCCAGCTGGAGGTCCAGGTTGCCCTGACCTGGACCTGGCCACTATCACCCCTCGGCCATCAGACTTCAGTTCCACCCAGGCCTGAGGAGCCTAAAGGAGCTCAGAAGCTCTCAAGATTGTTGCGAGACTTGAGGGGTGGAGTGGTCTGTAAGATGGTGGTGGAATGTGATGCAGGTGGGGAAGCCCCATAGAGTCTCAAACCTCCACAAGTTCTGTGATGCTCCTTGGCATGAGAACAGGGGTCATGGTAGTTCTCAGGGACTGCTGAGCTTCAGGAGGGGGAGCTTGATTTGAGCTCTCTTGGCCTGAATATCTAATGCTGCTATAACAGAAGTACTACAAGTGAGTGAATTTAACAAGTAGAAATGTAGTTCTCACAGTTGAGGAAGCTAGAAGTCTAAATTCAGAGTGATGAAACTTGAGGAAGACTTTCTCTTTACTAGAGAAAGAGCCTTGTCTACTTTCAGCACCTGTAGGCCCAGCATTCCTTGGTGATCTGCATCTTGGCATCAGTCTTCTCCTGGATCTAGGAGCATCATAGTGCAGGGACCTCAGGCCCAAAGGATACACTCCACTCTCAGCTCTTCTATTTTGTAGGTAGTTGTTATTATTGTTGAGTGCCATTGAGTCCCTTCCAAGTCATGTTGTTTTTAGGTGCCATCGAGTCAGTACTGACCCATAACAACCTTATGCACAGCAGAATGAAACACTGCCCAATCCTGGGCCAACCTCACTACTGTTGCCACACTTGAGTAATCGATGCTGCCACTTGGCCAATCCATCTCATTGGGGGGGTCTTCCTCTTTTTCTCTGAC